CCAGTTAATTGGACTATTCAATAGAGATGGCTAAGAAAGCATGTGCAAGGGGTAGAAAGCAGAAACCTGTCAGCAAAACTGTTTGTAAGCTACCATTTGCTGTTCTTGACATTAGAGAATTAGTAAATTAAACATTAGAAATGTCCAAAGAAATGTCCAGGCTTATAGGTAGTTGGATTAAATATTTAGTTGATGTGAGATTAAGTTGATTGTGATTATCGCATGGGTATATTTGCATGCCTGGATTATTCTTACTACTGAACATTCTTACTGCTAATAGAAATGCATGCAGTGCTAGTTGCATTTCACTGTATCAACAAAACGGCATAAACAGTTGCATGGCAAAAATATGGGATTTACTAGAATTCAATTGTCTACTGCTATTTTGAACAATTTTTTAACACACGAATGGCTAAAACCATAGGACCCAAAGAAGTCACACATTGGATCAAGGAAAATCCCTCATCCTTCAGTTCTTAACTAAGTACTAGCTCCAAAACATAAAAATGCTACAACAGATCCTAAATTCGCAAACAGTCAGCACCCAGTTCAAAACATAAAAAAATTCCAGCAATAAAATTCTAGATTTAAATGATTAGTCAGCCAATCCAAACCTAAAAAACCAGGAAATGAGCAGAAATATATTTCATACCATATATACTCTCATTCAGACTCCCAACTCCAGAAACAAGACACAATAGTCTTTCTCTAGCCAAGATAATTAATACTAGCTGCTAGTATTTCACTAGGATACATCAAAATTACTTCCAATTATCCATCCTCCATTCCCATGTAATGTATGGTATTAATTTCCTGTTCTTTTCTACTCTTAGTGCAGCGAATTATTCTTACTACTGAACATTCTTATTGCTAATAGAAATGCATGCAGTGCTAGTTGCATTTCACTGTATCAACAAAACCACATAAACAGTTGCATGGCAAAAATATGGGATTTACTAGAATTCAATTGTCTACGGCTATTTTGAACAATTCTTTAACACAAGAATGGCTAAAACCATAGGACCCAAAGAACTCACACATTGGATCAAGGAAAATCCCTCATTCTTCAGTTCTTAACTAAGTACTAGCTCCCAAACATAAAAATGCTACAACAGATCCTAAATTCACAAATAGTCAGCACCCAGTTCAAAACATAAAAAAATTCCAGCAATAAAATTCTAGATTTAAATGATTAGTCAGCCAAACCAAACCTAAAAAACCAGGAAATGAGCAGAAATATATTTCACACCATATATACTCTCATTCAGACTCCCAGCTCCAAAATCAAGACACAATAGTCTTTCTCTAGCCAAGATATTTAATACTAGCTGCTAGTATTTCACTAGGATACATCAAAACTACTTCCACTTATCCATCCTACATTCCCATGTAATGTATGGTATTAATTTCCTGTTCTTTTCTGCTCTTAGTGCAGCGAATGATCGAAAATCAATCGGATTCTAATTCTCTACCTACAATTGCCAAAGTCAGCAAACTTAATTCAAAATTAGTTTTTAAAGGTTAATCAATTCTCTTCTACATCTTACCTAAGTAGGTGGCGATAAATGATCAAATCTGGACCCAGTAGCTTGTGAAGGACCATCAGCCTCTTAAAGACCAGCAGCCTGTGAAGGACCATCAGCCTGTGAAAGACCAGCAGCCTGTGAAGGACCACCAGGCCGTGAAGGAGCAACAGTTTGTGATGGCGGAAAGCCTATAGATGCATACTGCTGGCTAAGTAATGCAATATGCTCTTGAAATCTCCTATCAAAAGCAGCCTCAAATTCTGAAACTCTCTGTGATACCTCTGACTGAATACGTGCAGTCTCTGATTGCACTCGCTCTGCCATTTCTTGCCGAACTTGTGTGAGCTCAGCCTGCAACTGATGGACCTGCGTCGTAAGCATCCTGGTGGTAGAGGACGAGGCCTCACTAATCTCATATCGTCGCCATGGTATGCCATGCTCTGCTGGGTCCTGAAGTGTGGACAATCCTCTCATCTGACCCTTTTTAGGGGGTCCGACGACATCCTTCCATATTTCTGGATCCCACCCTGGCCATACCTCCTTGTTTGGCCCATGCTTTTCCACATACTTTTGGTGAGCAGCAGTCTATTTCAAATTTAAATTTTCATTAGTTAGAATAATTTAAATTGTGTTAATATTAATTATAATAAATATCATCAAGAAATTTGGTACTTACATATGTCTGCTCAGCTTCTGGACACACCCAAACCGGTGCTGCCTCTTCTTGACCTTCAGGCCTGCGAGTTGTGTGAGTATACAAGTACGTCTCTAGCTGTGATGGCCTAACTCCCCCTCGCTTGGCTGCCTGTTCAAAATGAAAATAATATTAATAAAATTAACATTTTATAACATTCAGCATTATATATAAAAGTATACATAAAAAAGCCACATAATACTAACCAACCGATCTTCATGTATCCCCATTGAAATGCATCCAGTCGTGTGAGTTACACGGGGACCCTTTGCTCGGTTTAGCCGACCCCTCTCTTGTAGCGCCATATATTGTGGGCTCCGCCACTTTGCTAGCAATATTTTGAATGTCTCTCTATGCATGAACTCAGGTAATTTTTTGTAATTTTCCCATTTCTTTCGAATTACATGCAGCTCATCCCGAAAACGGTTCCGGCAGTGCTTTCTCCAAATTCTATATACACGAGCATCATCTTCCTCCCACCAATATATCTTCTGCAATATTAAAATTAAGTAAATTTTAAAATTCATGGTCCAACAAGAAACTTTTAAAAGCCTAAAGGGGCATTTAAGTGATGAAATATTCCAAATTTCGAGTTAAACAAGTCCCAAACTCTATTGCCTCGTCACAGCAAATTTAAAGTTAAAAATTAAGTAAACAACTATAAAACTTAAAATATTTTTTTAAAGTAATACAATATATGATAATATTTTTTTCACTTTAACTTATGTCATGTACCCGCCCACTCAAACTCATGAGTTCATGTTCTATTGGAAAGGTGATTATTATTCTAAACTAATTAACTCCTTTGAGAAGGTGCATACATTATTAACAGCTAATTTTTAAATTCAATTGTTGAAACTTGAAAGATGGTTCTAAAAACAGCCGAAGAAATTAAAGATGATGGTAAAACCAGCCAAACCCACATACAACAAACTTAATAGGACGTGATGATAATAGGACGTGATGATAATAGGACGTACATAATGTAAAAAAAGCACCAACCTTAGTGGAGTATCAGAGCGCGAAGAAGGTCAAGAATGATGTGAATGTGCACAAGGATACGGTAAAGCTTGAGGTGGATGAAGAAAACCCAGATCATCATTTGGTTTCTTTCGTTTTTGATGCCCTGTTTGCTGGGAGGTGAGCAATTTTGATTTTGTGTCCTGTGATTTTGTTTTTCAATTGCTGGGGTTGAATTTTTAAGATTGTAATTTTTACTACGAGGTTGCTTGTCCTTTGGTTTGGTTTTGATTGACAACTAAGATTGCACTGGAATTGAAATTGAAGTATATATCTAGATTGAAATTTTTCTAATTCTTGGAGATTAGAACTATTTCAAGATTTGCTTATGTTGGAAAATATTAGGAAAGGAGAAAAGCTTTAATCTTGCACTTCAGAGCTGATATAACCGTTTGGCAAGGTGGTAAAACTGAAGGATTTAAGATTT